TGTTTCTGATTTTTTTTTAAATCTGTGTCTTGTTTTGTCCCGTATCGTTGGTCACTCACCGCCAGCTCTGGCTTTTAAGATGATGTCTTCACATTGTGGAATTAAATGTTACTAAACTGAAATGAATTTGAAACCTTGCCGGCTGTGCTAGTTCCGGTAAGTTTAAAAATGAAGGTGGAGTTAACAAAAGTGAGCCACGGTATTGTGCACATGTGAGAAATGGGGGGGGGGCTGTACGGGTAGCTCCCAATCTCACTTTTGTTCATAGAGACACAGTGAACCACAGACTTTGTACTGCATATATGTAGTCCAGCTTTGTGTTCACAAAGCATTTTCAGCGAGACCATTTGCCTCACTGGCATCTGCCACTTGATTGCCTTGCCTGAACACTAAAACCACCTTACATTTAAACATTGGTATAGATCCTTCCTCCATGAGTTCAATGGTAATGTTGTGGAGCATCCTGCACATGGCAATGGACATTGGTGAAGAATTTAAGTTACAGTTGAAATACTTGTACCAGTAGTTTGGAGGGTATATGAAAGCCAGTATGTGAGATAGGCCTACATATACCATTTTACAGACCTGTGTACACACACAGACATGTACAGTACATGTTCATGTACATGGCAGAACAGGCATGAGACCATGCATGTACATGTAGGTATCACCTCAAACAAAAGGGTACAATGTACATTGGGTATTCATGTAATTGGCCTCCAGCCTTTTGCTACCATTGACAGAAGGATTTCCTGGTCCACATCCAAGGCTTTTCTTCCTTGTTTTGTTCCACTGCCAGCCCACCTTGAGCAACTGTGGGTGAGCCCTCTCCCCCAGGGCTCCAGACAACCCAAACATGGCCAGACAAAGGAGTTTCCCTGATTGAGATATATTGTATTCATATCTGTGGTTAGGTTGCCCGCTTGCACTGCATGTTGGGGCTGTGGTTTTGTGAGTGTAAGTGGCTGGGCAGGTAAATATTCATTAGCCTGTGGTTTTGTCCAAAGAGCCACAGTGTGTTAAAGGGGAATGAAAAATGTCAGGCCAAAATTGGATGCATTATATAATAATCAAAGCATCATCGATCAGAGGTGCAGTGATGTCACCATATGATACCCCCATACATGTATACATCATGATAGTATTTAGATCCAAATACATGTATGGACAGTACTACTGTACGTGTATGTACAGTACATGTACATGCCATGCGCTAATCACCATGAAACACTTTACACATGACCGTACACATGAGCACATGTACTTTATGTAGTCTTTGTATTTATATTATCCATAGATTTGCAACATGATGTACACATGTATGTGTAGCAGTACATGTACAATGTACCTGTGTACATATACATGTATGCATGATTTTATCATGAGATTTTATCTTTCTGATGTTACACAACTCTGTGACTGCCTCATTTAGACTTTCGGTTACTTTCTGAGCATTCTTTTCGTCTACAGGATCAGACGCTCACATTCTGGCTGTTTCTTGAGAATTTGTAAGAAAAGGCTTTTAACTGAAGTTGCGGCTGAAATGGAAGGGGGGAGGACTCCTCACCACCAGGGTTAATTAGAAATTCAGTCAGGTGTTAACTGTTCCACCTTGCAGTTTGCACCACTTCTTGGAAACTCCTTGAGATTCCTACATGTACCTGAGAGGGGGATTTGTGCTAGTTTTGTACACAGAAGTTGATGTGTTTGATTGTCTCCAAGGGAGGCAAGGCAGTCTGGCAGTCTGGTCTCCATAATAGAAATCCCCCCATTCAGCTCCTGGATGGGTGCTTTCAGCGCTTGTATGGCCAGTGCTCTTATTATTGATCGGGGGTTCTTAATAAGTGGAATTAGGATTGTATTTCAAGAAGGTCTCCCCCCCATTGACAGGCAAAGATTGCTTGACAGTCTTTTATTGCGCCAATTAATTTGTTGCGCCAACTGCCTTGTATCTTTCACTTCAGTTATGAAAATGTTGAGAGTGCTCTTGATCATTTCTTTACTTGGAATAAATTGCTTACATTATATTGGGAGCAAGTTGAAAGCAAGTAATGATGTTGCAAAGGGGGGGGGAATGGAAACCTAACATCCAGTTTTACGTGGGTGGGTAGAACGCTTCACACATGTACGGTACAGGTGCCTGCATGTAAAATCTGCCGTTAAGGAGCCCCTCAAGTGTCAGAAGTGGGTGCGTTATTAATCAGTACTTATAACTGACCAACAAATGCAAGTCGGCCCAATGTGGTCGTGCACCAGAATGAGTCCGTACTGGTATGGTCATACGAATGCAAAAATGTGTTTTGGAAAAGGAAATCTGACTGCACTGGTACCTGTGAGTATCTTGTGTATGGGCACCTGTGCTTCTCTTTGTACTAAACTGTCCCATTGATTTTCTTGAGGTCACTCATATTAATGGGTCTTAATCCTAGTTCAGCTCTCGAATGAAGCAGTGTACATGTACATGGGCACGAGTACTTTAACATTAACTCAGTGTATGCACTATGCTGCGACAGGCGTGCTGAAGCACCGTACGGTATATGTTCATCACCACACAAGATTGCCACTTGAAAGACCACACCCACTTAAATGTTGGAAATTTCAATCCATTATGACATGTGCATGCACTGTTCCTACCAACATGTACATGTACCTGCAATTACATGACGAGTGTGCTTTATGGTTTTGTGATGAAAAAAAAGAATAGCCAGAAACGATGCATTAGGGTGACCTGTTTCCCCTCGGCCTGAAAGCCAACCAAACTAAATCTTTTTTAGAACAAAGTTAGAAAGCTACTTGTGCGAGGAGTTGGCACGACCGAATTACAAATGATGGCCACAGCATACTGAGATACTGTATATTGCCTCTTTAAAAAAATCAGCCCAAGGTAATGTATGATGCATCACATCACTGAGATGTGATGCATCCAAGAGTCATCATCATGGCAATAATGCCTAGACCCACAGGGACTGGCCGCAAATAGCGAAGATCTTTTTTTTTCTCTCTCTCTCCTTTTCTTTCCTTTTAACTCGGAGCTTGTTATTGTTGCTATCAGCAGAGGGCGGGATATCTGTTCATTCTGTTCAGAATTAAATTTTTGTAGTACAGTTAATTCAAATCACTAGTATCAATTAGGAAATAAAGATGTACATTGCACTTGGCTGGTCGTCATTTAAAAAGCACCACTAAGGAAAACATGTTTTCTCTGATTTTATTTATTCAAATGAATATGGAAGCATCCAAATCGAACGCAGTGTCATTTGTCTTCAGAGCTCAATTATAACGAGCTAGAAAGGGCTTTTTTCCTGTTCATGCTAAGATGCAAATTCTGAATGTACATGTAGATTGCATCATTCAGAGAAAATGGGGGGGTACCCTTGCCGTGTGTTCGTAGTGGATAAACCCTAGTGCATGCCAAACAATGGCTACATGCATTGTTTGGTGTGCACAAGCATTAAAGGGTTAAAGGTTCTCAGCTATTTAATGTAAAAAATCATAATGGTCATTACAAACATGGTTGAGATAAGAAAGAGGAGTCAAATTAGTGGTAATATTAGCCATTGAAAATACAGAATTTCTGATAGAGTGCCCTGCCCCCCCAAAATCCCCTCACACTGAATGCGCTGATGTTGATATCATGACATTACGTAAAGAACAACCTTACCACGCGTCTCCATGCAACACCTACAACGTTCGCCTTTCTTCGTATCGTGTAGACTTCAGTCAGCAATGGCAGATTCTGAAGTTTTGGAGAGCGATTTTGAAGCCAATTTTTCAGAGGAAGAGTTTAACAGCTCTGCTTGGGACTGCTGTATTTTTCAGCCCAGGTGATTTCCAAACTCTTCGTGGAGCATTTTCTTGAAGTCATCGACTGTAAAATGGTCGCTGCAGATGACACTCGTCGAGGACGGCCCATCCCAGTTTGCCCTGGTCAAGTGCACTTTTGCTGTCCAGGTTTTCCGTAATGCCGGGTCTTTTGGGAACCTGTGCAGGCGTACACCGTCCTTTGGTGTATTGCTGCATCCTACAACGACACATCTAGTCAGCATTATCGCTTGCTGTGGCCAAATTTCAAGGCACGATACCTCGGCAATACTTCAGTCAGTCCACGCGTAACGCCAGGCCAGTGGCCCCTACCTTGAACATCGGGTTATTTACGTGATGTCATTGCATCACACGTTGCATTACATTACTCAGAGTTTTCAATGGGGAAAGTGGGGGACATGAAAAATACAAAAAAAATTGCCAAATCCGTCGAACCGATGGAAATGAACAAAAAATGGACACAGTTCTTGTTTTGTATTGAATACAGATTTATTAACCACAACAATGGTCTTGACTAGCAGAGAACTTTAAAGAACGTGATGTGCAAAGTGAAACGAACTCTTATACAATGGTCGGCCGACCGTCGTAAAAAAAAGAGAACAACACTTTCGGTTTTCTCGAAAACTACAGCTTTCTGGGCGGAAATATTTGACAAACTGATTGAGGCTGTCATTTACTTTCTTTCAAGTAAGATATTTGAGAATTATACAGCAGTCCAATTTAGGGGATTTTACCAATGGTGTACCAGCCAAGAACATATTTATTCCTTTAGTACAAACTATACTCATTGTACATATGTGTGCATGTGTAAATGGTATTGAATCATCGAATGTGAATCACTGTGTATTTTGATCACTGTTAAATATTTCAGACTATGACAGAACTTGCTGTTTCCATTAGTCAAAATAAATAATGTTTCACCGTTCTCTTTTTGAAATGGGAGATCTGCATGCTGATGTGAAGAGAGTGATGACTACTAAGTTATACCACATGTAGTATGAATCACTAAACCAAAGCCCAATGTATAAATTCATCAGAGAGAACTTAATGCTGGGTTGAAGTTATTTCCGTATTTTGGAAATGAAGAGATACACGTAAATTTGATTAGGAATTGATGTTTCTGAACGAACCATGTTGACCCCCCCTTTCTCAGTTTTCTCCTTTTCGTTTTGTAACAGGAACCAATGAAATCAAGAGCACCTCAGCTCCATCTAGAGTACAGATTTTACAAGATGCTGGGCCAAGCAGGTTAGTGTGTTTTATGGAAATTTTGTTGATATTGCCTCCAAGAAAGCTCATCATTTTTCCTTTCCAAAGGCCTTCGAGGAAAATTCCACCGCCTCTGCATTTGGGAGACATGTCTGCCACAAGTTGAATAGACTGATTACCGTAATTTTGGAATGTAAGCCACCCAATGTATAAGCCACAGCACACAAAAATCTGCAAATTAAGATTTAAAGTCGGTGCATAAGCCATACCGCAGCACTGACGATCCGACCACGAAGGACACCACCGTACAGCATGTACAGTACGTCAATGTCTCCACTACAGGTGCAACCCTAATAAAAGATCTGCCACACAAAGGTACACCATTGAAGCAGTTGATTTATATTTAACGGTAGAAAGAAATCTTTAGGTTACAACAATAAAAAAAAATCGTAGTAAAATGATGCAATAAATGTCTGCAGTAACTACATGTGGGCCGTGAGATCCAATGAAAAGTGGGAAAATAATCACCAAAAAATGTGTCACAGCAAAGCAAGTAAAGTTTAAGATCACGTACATGTTCATGAATGTATTTCATGACTCCATGACTTTGGCAATTCTGTTGGTACGTGTAACTTGAAATTCGGACAGCTTGAATTTTAATTTATTCTCTAAGGTTTTAGTTTTCAGATGTAAACAGCAACAAATGAAAACACGACTGCGTCACCTGCACGTGGTACGCGTAGCCCGGTCGTGGCTTTGGTGACCATGGTGTGACTGATTTTATCCTTCAAAGTTTGCCGTATAAGCTGCCCAGCGTATAAGCCTCAGAGACATTTTTCTGCATGAGAATTGACATATAAGCCACGGCTCATATTCCAAAAATAATCATGCCCGCTAAGTCATGTGACCTACATGTACATTGTATTGTGGGTATAAAATATCAACAAACATGACAACCTCCCATAGCAATGTGTGTTTTAAGTGTTGTTTACCAAAAACAAAGCCAATTTTCAGTATAGCACTCAGCACATCAGTAGTCTGAGTACTTTACTAGTACCAAACATCAGCTTTGTTTTATTAAATGACACTTATGACACACTTTGCTGTAGGGGGCACCCATGTTTGTTGATGTTTGATACCCACTATAGGTCTCGTGACTTACTGAGTACAACCAGTCTACATGTATTTCACTCTAACCAGCAAAGAAGAGACAGGCTGGTGGGAAGTTTTCAATCAGGTTTGTGCATGTGCTCGGTACACTCGCAAAGACTACATTCCAACAGACATTGGGCAAGCGCGGTTAGTTTGTCTTGCACTAGAAGCGCTTGGTGAGTTCCCACCAATTGATCATAGCACGGCTGCTACGCACATGTCACAAACACGCCCTCTCTTGTTTTACTCGGAGCGGATAAAGCAAGGATTCGGGTAGGATTTGGAACATCTGATGTGGAAACTGAGGAAGAGGCTGATTTGGGTTCGTTTCTCACAAAAATGAAAGTTTGGGAAGGTGGGAAGTGGAACACTAACATGCTAGAGAAAGGGTACCGTTGTGACACAACCACATTTGTTCCCATTCCGTCTTACTGGTACATGTACTTGCAACCTCTCAACTTAGTGTAATCACTTTCACTGGCAGGCAGGTCATACCAGATCTACATGTATGTTACTTACACCGGTACATGTACAAATTTGATGTAGACATTAGATATTCACATGTACCCCATTTAAAAGTCAGCAGTGTGTCCCCTTGTGTCACATGTTGTACATATACATGTACATGTACCGGTATGTACATGTACATGTAAGCATTTTTGATTGACCTTACTTATAAATCAGCAATATTGAATTGAAAGCAAGTTTTATTTTGTGAACCTAAGAATAAAATGAAAGCAAAAAATGAAGTTTATTACAGATTAATTCAGTTATGATAATGAATAATTTAAAATTTGAGATTTATCATATCTACAGTACTTGTTTTAAGTAACCCTTTTGCAAATGAAAGAGAGGCATGGAACTCAAAATAATCTGGCAAAGCCCATTTGACAGATTGCTTTGAATGAGATAGATTCAGGGAGCATGACGAAGACTGGCTTCCTTGTGATAAAAGGCTATTAACGCCCCCAAACTACACATCATTATCATTTGCAATCCACATTCAGTGTGATTGACTGTCTTCTGTTACCTGTGCCTGGCTCAATAGTTAAACACCACTCTGCCATGTGCCTGTGTGCCTTGCTGGTCGGTCGGTGCCTATGTCACTTTTGTCCTAGAGCACATATTTTATTTTGCTGGCTGCAGACATGCCAAGTGTCAGACAGTGCCCACAGTACACAAATCTCTCGGCGGAAGTTGTAAATAATACACAGCATCCCTGCCGATAATTCAGCACTTTGCCAGGATGGAATTTTGATTAATTTATTTCATCGCCAGAGCTTTAAAGTCCTGACAAAGGGTTAGGGGGAACAGCCTTGCCTTATGCTTTCTCCTTGACGCGTTAAGTTTGGGATGTATTATGTCTACAAGATTATTTATTGCATATAAATTTTTTTGGGGGGGGGGGCAAAAACTTGCAAAATTGCCTCTACCAAATTGAATTGAAGACTTTAAAAAGTGGTCATTGTGTATGTATGCGTAATTTGCATCTCAGCCGTGCAAATTTATGTGCATACAGTATTGTTCGCGAACACACACATGTGTACACATGTACCATACAATTTTGTTTAAAAAGGACATACACATATATTCCAAACATGACCAGTACCAAGGATTTTGTGGGTAAATGTACATGTACAGTGCATGTAAACTACATGTACTAGTGCATATCCATACATGCTTAACGTACATGTACACATGTACATGTACATGTACGCCACTTGTACATGTACGCGTACTGTACATCTTGCACCCGGTAAGTACATGTACATGTAATATACATTGTACATAGACTGCATACTCGGGTAAATCTGCATGCATGTACCGGTACTCTATAGTGAAACCAATGCCCATTCATAAGTTTATGTACATACGTATATGTACATGCAATTACTTACATGTAAATCATATATGGAGATCAGATGATCCTTTTGATGAGATTTTTCTGAGGAAGGCTCTAATGTTGTCAGTGGATTGCTTACCAGTATACTGGGAATTATCACAGCAGACAGAGATTGGGTTCTGCATAATGAAAAATGTTCTAATCAGACGATCATTTTCAGAAAGGCCTTTGACAAGTGCAATTTCAGGGCGTACATGTAAGTGCACTTTCTTAGAAAATGCTGTTTGGCTGGAAATTAATGAGATATTGAATGAGAAATGGAAGCACATAACCGGCATGGTTTTGCCTTGTTTCCAAAGGAGAAACCAGCAGTAGGCCTACATGTACATGTGCTTTATGCCCTTTGGAGATGTGTGGACTGCATGCAATTCCACAAGGGTTTTAGCTAGCGTTTGAAGACAGGGTAATCCATATTTTGCCTTTGGAAAAACAGGCCGTCCAAGGTGTGAAAGTTTTAGAATACATTGTACGCTTCTTTGTACGTGTGTGCATTTTGTGTCAGAAAGCAAGGTGTCCACTAGTCTAGGTTGGATGACGTTTACATTGCATTGCGAATAACGTCCAGGGGGGTATTTAAGATCTTCTACTATGCGAATTTTTTTTCAACAGTTTTTCTCACATTTTTACCTGATGAAGACAGCTCAAAATGTTGTTCCCAAGTGCCTTGTATCCTGAATTCCATACGTGCTGTGTTGAAATTACTAAGTATGCCCGCGGACGAAAAGTATACGAAAGGTATTTTGCAGGAAATTCTGCGAAACTCCACGTTTTCCGCTGAAATTCGTTAACGACCTACGTTTGTGCGGTAGTATGCATTCGCGCGTGTGCGAAATGACCTCCAAGCTCGGCCAACATTCTGTCAATTATACATGTTGTCTACAGCTAGGTCTAGATCTTCGTTCCATTACAAATACGTGGAGATGCGCAGACAATAGACCTAGTCGTTTCTTTGGAAACCTGTTCGGACATGGCCTTATCTGCAACTTCTTCACGCCCACGGCTCTTCAGCGTATGCATAAGGGGCACTTGGTTACTTTGCATTTCGTGCATGTGCGAGTACGCATGTCAGACAAATGTGTATGTAGATCTTTAACGAATGGCGATGGAAAGCGTGGAGTTTCGCAGAATTTCCTGCAAAATACGTTTTCCACGGGTGTATTTAGTAATTTCAACACAGCATTTATGGAATTCAGGATACAAGGCATTTGTGAACGACATTTTGAGCTGTCTTTGTCAGGTAAAAATGTGAGAAAAAACTGTTAAAAAAAATTTTGCATAGTAGGAGGACTTTCATACCCTGGACGTTAGTCACAATGCAATGTAGACGTCGTCCAACCTGGACTACATGTAGGTGTCCACAAAGGCCTGCAGGGTGACCAAACGACTCCCGGACCTTTCCGACTAAAATGTAACATTGAGGAAAATGGAAAATGCCACATGCGTTGAAACTGGCCCTTTGGGTAAAGATTTCTGTCTTTTTTTATTGGGCAACAAATGATGTGTACTAGTATTATGACAGTTAAATTATAAAATGAAAAATGAGTTACATGTACAGTATGTGTATGAAAGAATAAGAACTGACATTTTTTTTGACATTGTGTCCCTTAAACCTTGATTATCATGGGAATGAACTCCTCCAAAAGCTGTAAATGGAAAATGCTGATTTGTATTTGGTACCATTTTGTGTACTGTGTAAGTGGTGTGCTCATGTTTTGAACAGGGATGTCAGATGTCAGCAAAAGCCTGATTTCTGGCCTTCTCGTGTAAAAAATTGGGCTAGATTTATGCATTAACCTGGTGTAGGCCCATGTTAGGCTTCTCTGGCCACATGTTGAAGCTCTGGATAAGAACGCGACTGGCATCCCTATTTTAAATAGAGTAAACTCTGGCTGAGTTGACATCGTACAACTCAGCAAATTGCTCAAGTTGGCAGTCTTACGAAAGTCCCGATTGTCTCTAATGTGTTTCCATAAGTTTTATTTTT